CGAACCGAACCGTGGATTTTGTGAACCGTTCCACCCCTAATCCATGTACTTCATAAATGTGCAATGACTGGATGTTACAGGAAATGTAACAACAACCATCTGATGAGGTTGTAAAACATAAGACTCTTTTTCTTCACTTACACTTTCCCGTGGGCTGATTCCCTCTCCATTGGGTAGGGAAGACCTCCTACGGGCGGTTGGCGTTCGGTTTGGCGTAGAACTCTCCAGGGGTCTCATCTTGAGCTTCAGCACCTCACAGCAGGCCTGGTCCTCGTTTAAGGTGCTCTTTCCAGCATTAATCACCCTTGATTGAGACAGGAGAGGGGAGGAACCAACAACAGCAGTATAGAACATCAGAATGATACACTAAAAACACTCCCACCAAAACATTAACACTTTAAGACTCGATAAAATCTGCATGAAGTGGAACTCCAGATGTAATATATTTTCTGAGTTTATTAGTTTAGAGATATTACAGATAAATTTAAAATGTGCCATATTTATAGAATTTTAAAAAGTGAACTGAAGTGAACTAAACAATCAAAGATAGATACTTTTGCTTACTTTTACACCTCAAAGGCACATCTATCTTTCTATAATATTAATGCTTACCTTTATCTACTAAATATGGTTTCAGGGCTCTTTCTCCTATCTAAATTAGTTAGATATAATTGCGTTTTTTTAGAAAATGCAAAATATTTTAGGCTACATCAGGTGACATTAAAAGTGCTTATACTCAGAATGATACATATCATCTGCTGCTCAGTGACCGGGTCTCGATGGGGGCAGTCTCAAAGGAGACTTCTAGACATCCCTCTGCCCACACTTCTCCTCTAGCTCCTATGGGGGGAGACCAGGTATTCCAATGCAAGTCATGAGACATAGACCTTTCAATGTATTCTGAGTCTCCTTTGGTTGGGACATGTCTGGAAAACCTCTTGACGAAGGGGTTGAGAGTTCCTCTGAAACTCCGCCACCTTACCCGACTCCTTTCGATGTGGAGGAGCAGCAGCTCTACTCCAAGCCTCTCCTGGATGCTCTAGCCCCCTACTCTATCTCTGAAGGTGTGTTCAGACCACACGCAATGAAGGCGGTGATTCCCCAAGCCCCCCAGGTAGTTACCGCTCTGCATTTCAGGTGCACTGTGTGTACACCCTGGACCGCATCATCAAATAGGAAGAGCTTCAGCTGCGTGAAGCTGACATCCTACTGACGTTTAAAAAACTCAGCAAATAGACTGAATGGTTATTGCTTATTTAGTGCAGATTTATACACTTAAAATACTCATTTGGAAAAATAAAATTCATAAATAAAAAAGTAATGTCATGTGTGAAACTGTTGTGTCCAGAGATATTAAAAAAGTTTATTTGTTTGGTCATCCAGGGGTCAACTATACCCCATTAAGATCAGAATTGAATCAAAATTATCTAGCCTACTTTTTCAGTTCTACCTAATTTATGCAGGTAAATCTATCATTTGTGCTGATTTGGTTTTTAAGATTGAATAATTTAATAACTACAGACAATGACGTCACCATCACGGCAGACGTTAGTGCTGCGATCGTTTCCTGATATAAATTTATTGCATAATATCACATGTCATTCCTGTGCTGGTATTTAATATAACAGTGAGCATGTTTCCCTTACTTAGTGGCAGGAATGATTGTTTGATATTTAGTAAACCGGACATGCCGTTACCCCTAGGAGCCACATAGCATTTCCTGTCAAGGTCTTGCTGACAGATTTTCCAAATAAAAGTGGGACTTAACATCAAGGACTGCTGCTAATTTGTTCTCTATGAACAACTTTTGAATCGCCTTGGGGATGCCCAAAAGGCTCTGAAAAAAAGATTCCACTTTGTTTCATCCAGACGCAGCTCTGATTTGGTCAGATTCGGCAGGACTTCCTCACAAATCTATCCTTGCAAAAAGCACCGATGCTGGGCAGCGGGCAGCGAAAGACTGGGCTCTGTGCTGGAGGTAAGTGAGGACAATTAACAGTCGTTCTAGGACTAAATTAAAATGGCTTTTTTTTTAAAGCCACCTTAATACCTCTTGAGAGTATTACTTATTTCTACCTTGTTTAACATTATTTTCTCTGTATTCTCTGTATTCTATTTCAAGTGAAAAAAGCTTTGCCTACAACCATTCACTGATTGGCTGCCGTTCAACTCGTTTCAATTTCAGCAATCACCGCTCCTCTCTCTCCTTGCAGTGCTGCTGTTTGACAACACCTAAGTTCTATCCAGAAGCTGAACTGAAAAGCTGAACTGCCCTAGCATACACTCTAGGTCTTGACATGAGAGAGACAACAGAATATAATCTGCAAAAAGCAGAGAATCCAAACCAGGTGCTTTTCTTCCCTTGGCTGTGCCTGGAGGTCCTGTCTATGAAAGTACAGACTGGATGGCCCCTAGAACCTATTGTCTCTTTACTCCTTGAGCACCCCTCACAGGGTATGAGGGAAACTATAAAATCTTGGCCCTGTCTGGAAAAATCCCACAAATTATTCAACTAAAGTTTATAATTGAATATGATCTCATATTAGTCAACGATTCTCCCGCTCTTGTGTCATTACATAGTCCCAGAATGATTGGCTATTCACTCAGTACATGCTAACACAGAGAAGCAGAACTATCTATCCCTTAAAACAGGGGTTGGTGTTAAAGATTTTTGCCACTTGCCCGACATTTCATTTGCCCAGAAACAATTTTTACTTGCCCAGTATAATGTTTGATAAATATAGTTCCTAATATTCATTTTTGTATAAATATCAATGAAACATGTTTGTTTTTGTAAATGTTTTTTGTAATTCAGCAAGTTTCCAGGTTCTTGGTGGGTATATGCATGCGTGAGATAATGAACTCAACCCTACATTACCGTGTTAACATGCTTTTCAATCCTTCTTGCACATTCTTTTGTTTTTTCGTTGCTATTAGCACACAAGAAGAGATGCAACCTATTAAAAAAAAATCAATCCAGAAACATTACATTTAACTGACATGTACTACAACTGGCAGATGAATCTACAGCTGGGATCTGCTACAGTCATGGAAAAGCACCAGGGTCACATTAACTCTGTTGCCCTGTTGGAACCGTGCACATGCTGAGGCAGGTTTTATAACCAAAGAAACGGAAGGTTAAGCAGAATAAAACTTTACAAAGCAATATCTGCTTTCCTTTTTCATTCATAATCTCTGCAGATAATTTGTCATTCATTTTAGAAATCTGCCATCTGTGATGTTACATATTTTTGGATAAAAAAGTAAATAGCTTTTTGTTCTGGAAGCAGATAACTTTTCTCTCTATGAATTATATTCAAATTCTCATTTATAGCTGCAAGGAAAAGGTCCTATGAGGCAACATGTTCTCTCTATACAGCTGAGTAAACAGTCTGGATGATAAACATGACAGGAAAATTACTGCACCACCATCTCTCCCCCCGAGTAATGCTGTTTTTAAGTGGTGTTGATGTCACAATATTCTCCACATACCTCTAGTTATACAAGTCACATAGTAGCTGAAAAGAAGACACACTTGTATGTTCTTCAATAATGAGTTTTGGTACAGTTTGTGATTTTGACCTCAGCATTTGAAGTAAGAGTGAAGATCAGGACTAACTCCTTATGACTTTTTAATAGAGTCCCATCGTAAAAAACAAACAAAAAAACAACAAGAACAAAAAATAACAAAGAACTGTCCCTTTAAGTGGTTAGGGAGCAGGCAGTTATGCAACAATATAAAACACGGTTGTGTTTCGCATCCAGTAAAACCATCAGAACCCACTGAGTCTACACCACGTTTTGTAGTTGTGTAAGAGGGAACCTCTGCGTGAAGCAGCGTTCATTTGACCCCTGGAAGATCACAAGTTTAGCAACGGCCTTTTCATCTCCGCTACAAGGGGATGAGCATTCACCATCGACCAGAGACACGCTGAGGCCCAGAGAGCCGGGCCGTCGTATTGAGTTTCCCCACTTCTTCGCCTCTAGGGCTTAGGTTTGACCCAGATTAGAATGTCAGAGCTCTAATCTCTGGTATTATTTCTTTTTAAAATGCCTTAATACTGCATTATAGTTTTTCTCTAAATGTTTTCTTTTCACCCATCAAATTCTTATGAGGTGTAAGAAGCAGTTACTTCCTAAACATGTCTATTCGCTGCAGTATCTGTATCATTAAGAGTATTTAACAAAACTACATAACAACTTGCATGCAATGGGAAGACATTTTGATTATACCCAGATAAAATCTAAGAAATACACCAGATAGGTCAGAGTTGAATTAAGAAACAATTTAAAGCAGTTATGTTATTAATGATCAATCCATCATCTAAATATTAAAAATGAGTAGTAAAACTGAAACAGCTTCAAAGCTGTCATCTAAACTTATTGGGCATTACTGGTAAGGGCAGGGCCAGATTTAGGAAATCTGGGGCCCCAAGCAAAAACAGGCCTGGGGCCCTCTGAATCGAGAAGACAACACATAAAACAGATCTATTATACAGATACAGACATTTTAATAGAATAGACATAAATTATTTTTCTATGTTTTGTCCCTCCCTTCTTTTCTTGTTGTTTTACTCTCTATGTTTTGTACTCAGCTGACTTTTCATGCTGTC